CCAGCAGGGGTGAGGGGGGGAGGGGGGGAGGGGAGGGAAGGAGGGGTGAATATGTGGTTCAGCCCAGGCAGAGTATAAAACCTAGACAACTAACAAAAGAATTTAGAAGAGAGAAATGGGCTGGAACTGGCTTCAACCCACATACTCCTTCCCAGCACGTGGGGATGCCCAGCACTGTAACGGTGAGCATACTATAGAGACTGGTAATGGGAATAACGGGATATTGTCACTAAACCATGGATTGCCACTGCTGCATTTTGCTAACCATAACTTCCACTGGTATTGAGTTTTCAGTGTATTTCGTTCTCTCTCTGCTAAATCAGAAAACCCATGCAATATCAACTGCCTTCAAATAAGTAAATTTGATCATTACATGCTCCATGCATGGACTATCTAAAAGAACCTGGTCAGAGAGTATTGGACTGACAGAGCCACACATAACACCTGCAGCTCACAGTCTCATTTTGGTTGAAGCGAACAAACCTGCATAAATACCTTCTATATTCACGTATCTCCTATATCTCAAAAGGAGCACCAGAGGTAGCTAGGTAAAAGACTAATTTTTTCACAACTTCTCACGATTTGCAGCCCACGACTGCAAATATGGCCTCCAACAAGAAAAAAAAAAAAAGAAACCTCACAAATTTAATACTCTACCACGCACTGAAAAACAACTGATTTCAGTTCATTCTTATTTAAATATGGGGGGGTCCTACCACCCTGCACTCCTTTTGTGATAACATACTAATTACAATAGCTGTGATATTAACTAAGGCTACAATAACTACCAAATGTACAGATGGCCAGCACTGGTTAGAATACTTTACCTGTAGTGAAGAAACATTTGGGTGCCTCGATTCACAGATATTACAAAGAGAATACCTGAAGAACCTGGACAACTCTGTCTTGTAATGACACTATACTGATCAATATCTGATAGCTGTGGACTTGTGCACAAACCCCTACGCATTAAATAGACGATGTGCTGAGTTACAGACTGTAAAATGTATGAACTTTTCAAAGTTCAGCAGTATGATCACAAAGCTCTTAGACAGAAGAGAGTCTGTCCCAGGCTTTCAAACCCAACTCCCTCGGGCAAGCAGAGACGCACCAGTGCAACTGATGAGCAGCTATAAAAATTCCAAGGTACTTTTACAGATAATGTGGGCTTTGGGTACAAAGAAGAACAAGATCACTAAAGTGTGGATCAGCTACTTGTTTATTGTAATGTACGTACTGCATTTCATTAATCACCGCTTAATTCTTACTGTGAACGGTTTAGATGGTGCTTCAGTTCTAGCTGTTCTGAGCAGGCAGCACAAGGGAAAGGAAAACTGCAAAAGATGAGCAAAGCCTTTCAATCCCTCTTGTAAATGGAAGGATCAAGAGGAGCATGTCTAGCAGTATTCAAGCATTCAATAGCTCTCTCAGTTCATGTCCCACAAGGTAGGACAAAACGGCGCATGTAAGTGTTACTGCACTGTTTCTGTTAAGTCTCAAACAGAAATCTCAGGAGGGTACATTTCCAATTAGACAGGGATTTCACACTCCCTCTTACACATGCAGAAACACATGTGGAACTAAGTCTGAATACTTATGTCACCTTCCAGATACAAAGCATTTTTAATGATGCAAATGTCGTAGACAATCTGCCTGCACAAAACCCCCTCAAACAACAGTTGAATATGTCTTGTCACAGAGACCAGCTTAGGGCAATGAAGGGCCCTCTGGAAGCTCTAGTGACGACACAGACTCTAAGCAGAAAGCAAAATTAGAGGTCCAAAATTAGGTTGCAATTCTCTACCAGAGAGCTAAAATTCTAGAACTAACAGGTGTTGAAATACAGAAAAGCAAATTTGACTATGGTTTAGGGAGCTTTGAATTCTTCTCCCCCCGCCATTCTTTTGTGTTTTCACTTCAGAAAAAGAGACAACTACAATTTACTTCTCAAATAAAACCATAAAGATTTCTATTTGAGGTCTACAGCATGTTAAATTCACACAGACTAATTTTATATCATGTACATAACGTATAATGGATGAGGAAAATATAATAAGGAATTTATAAGTCAAACCTGAAGAATTTCTGTTACATTATTACCAAAAAAGCTTCTGTTTGTGGAAAGCTGAAGCAGAAGAGAAATTATAAACACAAACAACAGGGTAAATTCAGGCTAATCAAGCCTAAATTTAGTGAAAAAAAAAATTGTTGAATCAATTAAGTTTATTCTGCTTACAAAGCTATATTTAACATTTTGATACTTTTTTGGGGCTATTTGGAAAAAAATAAGTTTTTCTTTAGTACTTCAAAATATGACTGAATTTGTCACCAAAGTTTCATAACTATATAATACATTGTCTTTAGGAAAACGATTTAACAGTTTATCTATTCACTTTTCCACTGTGATCAACCAGGAGTGAATGGAGAAGATTATTCTCACAGAGAATTAAAAACCCAGACAGGCAGTCATACAGACATGCATGGGGTTGTCCTGGGTCCAGCTGGGATAGGGTTAATTCTTCACAGAAGCTGGGAGTTGGGCATAGCCGGATATTCGATACCATGCTGACGTCATGCCCGGGATATAAGGGGAAGCTAGCCGGGAGAGGGGTCTCTTTTGTGACGTCATGCCCGGGATATAAGGGGAAGCTAGCCGGGAGAGGGGTCTCTTTTGTGAAGCTCGTGGTGGTGAGATTTTCATTGTATCAGTGTTTCCATTGTACTCTATATCTTGTCTTATTGTTATATTCTCCTTTCTTTTGCTTTCCTCGTGTGGTATTATTAAAAATCTGTCGTTATCTCAACTCAGGAGGTTCCACTTTTCTTATTCGTCCCCATCTTACCGGGAGGGGAGTGGGGGGGGGAGGCGGTGTTGCGACCACGTGGTGGTGGTGGTCCTGACACCAAGACAGGGGTAATCTCCAGTAGCTCAGATAACCAAATATTGTTTTAGAAAGGCAACAGACAGTATTAGAACAGGACACTAACTTTGGCTGCCAACAAACACAGGCAAAGCATGTGAAAACAGCGTGAGGAAGGTAACATTAGGAGCACCAACATATCCCTAAGGCTGCAAAGAGCTCTGCTTCACAGCCAAGTAGCAGAAACTCTCAATCTTCCTGGTCTGATACAGGAATAGCTGTCAGTACAGACAGTTATACATAATGCCTCTTTTTCTGAAATAATAAATTCTTTTATTTTGGAAAGGCTATTCTACATTGTTACAGAAAATAGCTGGTCACAGTTGCTTGCTTAAAAGCTACATAAGTGGAGGGGATTACTTTCACAGCTAGCTAAAGAACCTGTATTGTGAGACAGCATTGCAAGAGCCAGTGAACTACTGTCAGCAGAGGAGATGGATTCTTTTAAGGAAGGAGGCAAGCTGTAGCATTAAATGAGTCCATTCCCAGAGGGGCCAGAAGTTAGAGATATGGTATACACTTTGAAATCAGTTCCTATCAATAGGAAAACTAAAAACCACATACAACACCTTTTGTTCTCTCTAATTATCCACGTGCAGCTTTCATGGTCCACAGATGAATAGAGTTTTCCTTCCAGCAAAGGAGGCTGGTCTTTCAGCGTAACATATATGTTCTCAGGGGAAAAGCGTACTTTTATGTCATCCTTAGTGATGTCTTGAGGAATGTGAACTGTTATTGTCACATCTTCTTCAGTCTGCTGCCAGTAATAGAGAGGGTCTGGAATGGGAAACATGCAGAAAAATACAAACAAGATTACAAATGCTGTCCTGGATTCCACAGAATGCAATGCTGGGAGAGATGAAGTACAAGTTTGCAGAAGAGCAGAAAATAACTTTTACTCTGAATAATTTACATAACATACATTCCGGTTATAAAATGCAGCAACTTCTTTAAGCAGTCAAGTTCATTTGTGTCCCTCCTTTGGAGAGCAATTTATATTCATGTCTATATTCAAATATGCTGACGGAGTTATACAATGGGCATTAACTTTAAGTTTACTGGAGCATTACAAAATTGGTAACCAAAATGTAACTTAAATACACTGAAACATTAATGATTAATAATTTGGTTGAAGAGACGTCAGGTACAGTGATACTGACAAGCTACTGCATGCTCAGAAGTATATGCCAGAGAAGTGAATATTTTTTTCTTCCCTATTTTGCCAGAAGTCTTTTATCTTACTGTTAAATATCATTTTATTGTTATTGCTTTAACCATAAGTAAAGATAAGCTCAATTCTTTAAGTTGGTGCCTGTGTCCCTTGCGCTGACCCCGTCCATTGGCAGAACAACTATTCAACAGAATTTCAGAAGACCAAGTAGACTACATCTGCCCCAGTTGATGGAGACGAAACAAAACTGCCTGCCCAGAGGTAACGACTGACTTTTAGTCCTGGGTCTAGAATCTGCCTGATGTCTATCTTGATTACTACCTTTCTACAGGAAGTGGCCTTTTAAGAGAAAAGTTTACAGAAAAGGAAGGCTATAGCAGCATGACTGGGTGGTGCACAGTTGGTCGCAGACACAAATACAGATGCATTCTTTTTCTAAAGAGCCATCTTGTACATGTGACCTATTGAGAGGAAAAGTATGGACAGACCCTTTGGAAGCTCTCAAGTTGTAACAATACAATATAAGATTTCATTGATCTAAGCTTCATGTCAGTAACTGTGACTCTGGAAGGACTCTATGATTCTATCCAAAAAAGCTTCTCATATAGGTTTATGCACAATGCAACTTCTGAGGGTGAAAACAAACAAACAAAAAAAGCCCATCTGTACTTAAAAAAAAAAAAAAGAAATATGGAAGGTAGATATTAAGATAAACATTTATTGCTAGAGTTTCCAAACAGATGTTAAACTGACAAGCTATTTCCTAAGCCAAAAGAGAGAGCAACCTATCATAATCTGCCAGATAAATCTTACCTTTCTTTTCATTTGTTGCTTTTGCATCATCATCATTTTCTTCTAATTTTTCATCTTTATCTTGCATAAATTTGAATGGTTTGTAGGAAACAATCATTAGACCATCCCCATTTGGCTCTATTGCTGCATAATGGGGGACTGATTTGCCTTGTAAAACTCTCCTTTTAAAGATTTCATATCTATGATCACCTATAAAAAAAAAAAAACCACTAATATTTTTCTAGAAGATAAATTATTATATGAGAATCTCGTTACACTTAAAAATACTAAGCAATCCTACCAGTTAAATCCCAGTACTGTAGTTCAAAAAGAAATTTCTCTTCTGTTTTCCAATGAGTTTGTTACATAAATAGACCCTAAAATTAACCTAACATTGCCCCTTTTTCTTATGATGTCTTTGTTGATCACAGCTAGCCCAGCAATTCACAAAACCACTCACAGCCTCTGTACAAACAACTTTCCAAATACTTTTTGAGCTGCTGTAAAAACTTGAGAAGTAATGAAATTGCTAGTGGTAACACTATTCCTAATGGAAAATGCCCATCTTCCCAGATGTTAAGCTACCAGCATCAAGGACCATGCCATTCCCTGCTCTGCTCCCAAACACACAAGCACTGATGACTCAAAACACCAGTAAGGTGACACATTCTAGCACAACATTTATTCTTTTTCCGTTAGAATCATACTGCCCACAGAGTTCTCAGTAATTGATGAACTTCTGAATAACAGATTTTACAAATGGATTTTTAGCAAAAAACCCAAACAATTCGATTAAAGAAAACAACAAACTTTGACAGATTATACCTCCGTCACAGCCCTCTGAAGTACCATACAAGACGTGAACAGACCTAACCATTGCTTCCATTCTGATTTATTTTCATGTTTCCATTTTTTGTTCTTTGGTAACACAACAGTGGTAGGCATGATCGCTCTGTAGCCAAACAGACATGTCAGAGACTCTCAGTTGTTGGTGTCAAGAAACATAACTATGTTTCAAGGCTTTGCTTTAATGAAGCATAGATTTTGGTAATTTGAGAAATGGCTTGTTGACTATCTTCTTATTTTTACTACCATCTGATTTGATAAACTGCACCCACAGGCAGAGCTTCAAGAAAAGTTAAGCATAGCAATTGCCTGCTGATAAAGGAGGATGTAAAGTATTGCAACTCCTCAAAACAGCTGGGTCATACATCACTCAGATTTGCAAAATGTTTATTTAAAAGAAACCAAAATGTATTTCTCTCTTCATAATTAAAGCGTGCTTTAAATCTTGTTATTTACATATCTGCTGACTGTAACTACAAAAATTTTGTGTGTTACTTGGAAGTGCTGGAGAACTGATGAGTTTTTTGGAAAGATTTTTAAATCCATTTTTATGGAAAAAGTTTCATTCCGTGAACACTTGTCTTAAGTTACAAAAAACACACTTTAAAAAATAATTTGCTTATGGAAAGATAGAGTATTATAAAATATAATACAAGTCTGTGTTAGTGCTCTCTTTAAGCAATGGTCTGCAGTTCGAGACTGGCAGCATTATTGATTCAGTTTTTCTTACAAGATATAATGTGATGTAATCTGAACAGTAATGTTCAGAGGTTTCTTCCTCTTGTTGATATTTAACCTGAATATATACGGTCATACTGAACAGATAAATTTCCTTTTGCCAAACTTTATTAGGATGAGACATTAATTAGTATGTATTAATACACTAATATGTCTTGAATGTGTTGGTATAAAATTAACTGAATAACTTAATGCTCTTTTATTGCAGGAAAACCTAGAATACGGAGTATTTACTTTTCATGCTACAGTTAATGTGTTTATCTCATACTAATTCCAACCCCACCACACTGTTAACTGCAAGCTAAAACAACAGAAAACCCAAAACATAACCAAACAAAACCCCATATCCATCTGTACAACATTTTGAAGAGCGTAACAGACATTAGTAAGAAATAGTTCTCTATAACCTTCATTGTACAAGATCAAGCTAAACAGGAACTGCATTTCGTAATGTCACAAAGTAAAGTTAATCTTGTTTTCCAATTACATCAACTACATACGTATAAAACTTTACTTCTTCCTGCCTTCCAAATGTTTGTCAGAATTTAAGTCTACAACCAATAACTTGATCTCAAAATGTAAAATAAAAAATTGCTTATGTAAAATCCAAGTTGAAGTTCTGTGGAAAGGAAATATCAGAAGCTGAGGTACAATCAACTTCTCATACAAAACACTAAAAGCAGGATTTTTTTTACACATTACTCACCAGTAATATAAATGTGAAACACTTACCCTCTTTGCTTATCTCTGCAATTGTAACCCATTCCAAGGTAATGTGAAATCCGCTTCCTTTTGCGTCCAATTCATCTTTTTCTACCCTAAGCAGCAACACAGCTACTGAATGCCTGCCAGATTTTATAAATGAAACACTGTGTGCTATAACAAATGGACTTCCTAGTTCTTCATTAAACACAATCTAGAAGACATAATTGTAGTAAGAAGTCAGTCAGGTAGAACTGGAAGTGTTGCTCTTTCTCAGAAAGCAGTGAAAGGCTTCAGTGAATGTCAAATCAGTTCAAGTTTGCTTCCCACAAACCTCTCTGCCAACATGAATCCACGAATGTCACGTATTTCTGGTTCCTCCCTCCTCGGCTATCAAGCCACTGTTCTGAAGTGCTTTCAATTACTATTGTTGATATTATAAAATCATTGTAAGGGACCATTACACAAAGCACAAAGATCCACAAAACCATCTGCCTTATGGCTGTTTACTACTGCAATAAGCAGAGGTACAACAACTGAGGAACAGAACAGGACCCATAGACACAGCCTACCAACTGGGGAAAGTCTCACGCTCAGGATGAAAATATTTCATCATTTCACCAAGGCCCTCACTACTTCTCTAGACACCTTAACACCCTGAAAACCTTTGTAGACTTTGACGTGCAAACAAGATAAAAAGGTCCAGTGCGTTGCTGCCAGGGTTTAATCATCAACCCACACCGAGGGGAGGGCGCTCTCATTATTTGGCTGCTATCCTTACAAAGAGATTCAATTTGCCATCTCTATTACAAAATCTTTATGACGTGGAGTAAAAAACAAACCTGTAACTAAACGAAGGAATTTAATACTCATGTTTAGAAGGACCTAGAATTAGAAGGCTTTGAATGTTTATGTACATGGTTTGGAAAAGTCCATCCATATTTGGATGGGACTAGGTAGGCTGCATATGTAAATATTACTGTCATATTGAAAGGCTAATAAGCACCACTGTATACAGGAAATAATTTCATACGGAAGGACTGCACATCTTGTCGCTTTGTACATATAGCTGGAAGGTTTGATTCTAAAAACTACGTATCTCAGCTCTTCTTAAAAAAGTACTCATTCAGCAAAAACCCCAAGAAGACAAGACCAAAACGAATCAGAAAAGAAGAAATAGAGCAGTCTTCATTTGCTGGAACGTTAACACAGGAAAACAAAAGAATAAAAGACAAGGAATTCAAACCCTAGTGGCTCAGTGAATACAGGCTCAATCCAACTGTTGCTCCTGAAACCTGAGAAGGTTTGAGGGTTTATGGGGGTGGGATGTTAAACATCACGGTAACCCACAGGGCACTCTGAATACTCAAAAAGTGAATTTAAATGGTGACAGAACCTCAACATACAAATCTCATGTTTTTGGTACACTGACAACTCCAGTGTAACTTATTTATGTATTAGCATTGTCCCACAGAACAGAATAAAAACAGTTGGTATTTATTACCAACCGCCTGCAGAACAGGATGACCAATTTCTTAGTCACTATGTCAAAAGCCACAGGGGAAAGAGCTAATCGACCATGCTGAAACCTTCCACTTCAGGACATATACTTATGTTCCTGCCAATACTAACGACTCCTTGATTGTTTAGGAAACTGCCTTCTAATAACAAAAATGGATGACAAATGTGGGAGCTTTATACCAGATCTGTCTTTGATGAATAAAGAGGAACTAACCCCAGCCCATGAGACTCAGTAGCTCATGTAGAAATATAACTTATACTTGCTGTGTCCAAGCACAATAACCACTATTAGTGCAGTAAGATCGCTTTGATGTGGATACAAAAAATGCTGCTTATCAAGACTCTTTAAAAGAATTCATTATGTATACAACTGAATCACAATAAACATAAAAACATACTGCAGTTACAACCAACAATTTCAGGTGAAAATATTAAGCATCAATAACTTCCCAGAGCTAAGTGCACACTATGAAGATTTTCCCTACTAGAGAGATGGAAATAATATTTCTTACATTACACCTGCTCTGCAGGTAACCTTCAGGGTTACTTATCAAAGCTTTTTAATCCGAAGTTTTGTTTAAGTTTTATTCTAGTCTCTGTGGATGCATTTTTAAGATGGGGAAAATTAAATGGTGAATATTTCAAGCACAATTATACCCACACAGACAAAAATCACACAAACCAGGAATCTCCTAACTTAAAAACTAAATTAGCTTTTAGCTTGGTTGACAATAATTTCAGACTTTAAAAAAAAAAAATATTATTCCACAGGCCAGTTGAAATAGCAAACAATAAAAGATGGGGGGAAAAAATCCTAGAGAGACACATATGAATAGGGAAGGGAAAGGTGAAATGGTTTTTAGAGAAATTTCAGCTAGACAAGCACTTAGCCACCTATTTAGAAACACTCACTTTTGCTTAGATTCTTCTTCAGTCAAAAGGCTGTTCCCTTTCAAACTCTTGAATTTTCAATATTTTGTGCATAAAGAAATCATTCATTTAGTCATTAGTATAAAAATAAATTATTTTTATATTATCAGCAATGCAGAGTTACGATTTAAAGCTTAATTCTTCACAACATTATACACACCTGCAATTCTCACAAGAAATGGAAGAATAAGAATTATTTGTTAAATGTATAATTCCTAAATATGTTATTGCAAGACCTACCTCCCACTTTTCAGATGCACCACTTCCACGCTTGCCTGATTTAATTAAATACAGTCTTCCTGTACCATCAGAAAGGGTAACCCACATGGAAGATGAGAAGTGTACTGAGGCACAAAGGCGATTATCACAAGCTGTCAACTCTGTAGGCAGCCTGAAAACTTCTCTTGGTTTTTGTAGGGCAGTGTCCTATAAGCAAACAGTCACACACTAAGACTTTATGAAGTATTTATCAATTTTGGTAAGCGGTACAGACAAATTAATAATAATTTCAGTAGCAATTCACCAGTTTCTTTGTGCAGTTGAGCATATTTGGAAAAAAGTGGGCAGCAAGCATCATTCCCACATATGTGGAAAAAGTGGTGGAATTTAGTCATTTTTCTACTTACTGAAAACATGAGTGTTCTATAATTGATATTCCAGCACTCAATTTTACAGCACTAATTACATTGTGCATTCAAAAAGGCTTTTCACTTCTTTTCCCCTAGCATTCGCATATAATTAATCACTTACCTCAAATAATTCTAGTCCCAGCAAAAATGTGGAGACTTTAAAAGAAATGAAAGACACAGAATTGTACCCAAACCAGTTCATAAAAACACCCTTCTAAATTAAAAAGAATTTTAGCCTATTCTCCTACACACCTGGACCAAGATGACCTATCATTTCTCAGCTTTCCTAGAGGGGTTACTTTTCCAGTAAGTTAGAGTAGTAACAAGTATGATTAGTGAGCAAAGAAAAACTGTACTAATTCATAGTGCAAATAACTTTTCCATCACATTATGACTATACTACACTTGAGGATAAATTTATTTAGCATACTGTATCAGTGGCATACTGCAATCTTATTTTTTGTTTTTAAGCTAAACTATAAGCACAGACAGCTTTTAAGCATGAATAAACAGAGACACTACAGGGAACAAAGTGCACAGAGGATACAGTTCTCCACTGAACAATAAAGATATATGGATTATATAAAAAAAAAGGAAAAACCCAGTATTTCCTGTTGTATAAACTTTACACAAATCAGCCTTACTGAATAATAGTGCAAAATGAATGTCAGATTACCAATCTCACCTATATTTCTAGTAATTGTTCTCAGAACTCCTACTTTAGCTCAGCATTGCCTTCTTCATTTCCTGCTCATTCTAACAGAAGAAACTGCTTTCATGCTGTAAATCGGATTTCCAATTGTTGTCATTAAGTACAAAGGCATGTCTTCCAGGATATCTTCTAGGGATTACTCTTCATCTTGTGCCTTCGCTCTTACATACAGCCTTGCCTTTGCTGAATAAGGCTTTGTAACTCTCCGCCCATTATTTGGCTTGCAGAATGCCAGCAGCACTATTGCCTGCTCAGGATTGCAATTTATCTCCCTTTTGTGAGTTGAAGTAACCTCTGAATATCCCAGAAGCTTGTTTGAAGGCTTCATTGAAAGGCACTATTTTCTATAATAAAAGTGTTTCATTTTTCACTGTAACTAGCAAGTTGCATGACTACTGTTGCCTAGGGGGGGGAAAAAAAAAAAACAAAATCCCATGCATCTTATCACGGAAAGATGAGACATGAGCCCTGTTAACAGTGATTTACAGGGCTATACCACATAACATTACAGAAGACCATACTTTTTGAATCATTTTTTGATTCAAGGGAATCTTAACAGTAATCTTCAAATAATTGGATGTAATTTTCTGAAAAAAATAAATTATCAACTATCAAGTATTTAATCTTCTAAAGCCCGAAGCAGATTTATCAGCACTGAGCAGGAACGTCAGGACTCAATATATCTCCTGAAAAAAGTGAAAAATAATCTTCATTACACATTACGAAGCTCCCCTCTCAATAGGCAGGAAAGGAAATGCTCTTATTCACAACCCTTCTGTTCACCAGTTTAACTGCAGGCTTTTATTAGAACGGTCTCTAATCTTAGTCTGGTGATGAAAAGGATGAACCTACTTGAAGCTGAAACAAAACCTGTCCTCAAACACTTCTGTGTCAGATTGCTTTTTGACTTACTGTTTCTCTGTTCACCAGCTGGTGAACAGGGGTTAACAGTAACTGCCTACATCAGGAGTAGGAGGGAATGCTGAGACACAACAGTTAGGTATGATGCCAGTAAGAACTGGCTAAGACAACTATGGTCATTTTAACAGCATTTACTCACTGTAATTCAGTTTAAATGACAGCAACACAGTTTCTTTAAGAAAAAACTAGACACAGCTTCTCCTCAGACCCAGTTCTTCATCTCCCTTCACTTTTCTACAAAAATTCTTCCTTTGTTTAACTATTTTTCACTCCCAAGTCTCTCTCTTATCTCTTCCACTGGCCTTTAATTCTAGCTCTGCCCACTTCTATTCCTCCTGAGAGCACACTGCTTCCTTTCGGCCTCTGTCATTCTGTTCGTCTATGCCACGTTTCATCTGGATACTTGCACTACTACAACATCCTCTTTCCTTTCAGCAGCTCATGTGCCTCACCTGCCTATGACACCAACCCTGAGTTTGAGCCTTTTAAGCAGCCCAAGTTTTAAATTTTTATAGAAATTTTGAGCAAACAGTTCCTCCACAGGCAAAGTCAGGCAAACCAAGCCAGCTCAGGATAAGGAGCCAGTACGCAGGTACAAGAAGCTATATTCTGGTACTGCAAGCATCAAGCAATTAAACAAAGTCAAGGCAGACGCAAAAAACCCCAGAACCCCAAAAAACGCAATTCAGTAACCCTGTCGCTACACTAGCCATTGGGTCTTTAAAACAAAGTATTGATGCGGGCTTATTGCACAAAAGAAGCCTGACACCTGTAACAGGAAAGTGTTAAAGATGTCATACAGGATTTCCAGTCAAGTTAGGGTAACAACTTTCTCAGTCTGGTATTAAAAAAACACCTGAATACCCATCCATTGTCTTAGAAAAACTGCTCATGTTGATTCTTTTCCAAATGCTTGATTTTGAGCAACTGGCGAGGTATTATCTATGCTCTTTGCCTTCACAGATGACATTTTTAAACACCTAAGCTGATGGATAACTAACACACTGCCATACTAGAATAAAAGCTGCAACAGAAACAGGAAGCACAACTGGAAATAACATGTTAGATAACCTGTTAAAAAGCCTCTATGTTCCTTCACTTTGGATTTAGGATAAGGATGGTAACCTGTTTCATCTTCTGTTTTAAAGAAGACCAACATTAATTTGAATTGTGGCTGTTGCTAACTTGCAAACTCTACTTGCCTGGAAACAATATTATTTGTAGTACGCATTTGACTAATACATCACCAGGCACATTTGTAATGAGACACCTTGCTGATGCTTCTGAATGCACATTCCTTGCTATACATATGCAAATATGTTTCGTTTGCAGAACAGCACTGTATTGCACATTAGGGCACAAGATGGCAGATATTTATTTCACAGTCCTGTGGAACTAAAACATGTGACAAGATATTAATCAAGTGCCATTTTCTTGAAGATTCCAACGGGCCCACCAGTTCTAGGGAAGAATATTTATTACGTCAATTTACTGCACATAAAAATGCAAATTACTGCCTGTTGTAAAATCCTTTATCCAGTCTATCTGCTAAGAAACTTACACACTTTGGTGCCCTCCTGATAAAGGAATGTGCTGGGCACCCGTGCTGTGCTGGCAGTGGGGGCTGCGGAGGTGGTCTCTGCGAGGAGGGGCCAGGGCTGCCCTGTGTCACACACGGCCACTTCCCGCTGGCTCAAATGAACTCAACACAGGGCACAGCTGAGCCTCTCACCAAGGTGCTGGTGGGGGGCAGAGGTCTGCCTGTAGCCCTCGGAGAACATCATGGGGAACCACGAAGGACCACAGAGGGGCCGATATCCGCACTGCAGCCCATGGAAAGCCTGAGCCAGAGCAAGCTCCTGGCAGGAGATTTGTATGGCTTTGTTTCCCGTCGTCTGACTCTATTTTTAAATGGCAATAAATTAATTTCCCCCAGGTTGAGTCTGTTTTGCCTGTGACAGTAATTGGTAAGCGATCTTCCTGTTTTTATCTCAACCCACAACATTCTCTGCCCTATTTTCTACCCATTCTGCTGGGGAGGGGAGTGACAGAGCACCTGGGTAAGTGTCTGGCAGCCAGCCGAGGTTAACCAACTGCAAGGAAAAAAAAAAACACAAAAAATGAGATTGTGACAAGCCACTGTTCATAGAAGGCCTTCCCTGACAATCTCCTTTCTTTCAGATGTTCTTACTGGGAATCCAGATGATCTCAAAAGATTTGGAAGAAGTCCCAGATTATTCTATCTCAGCAAGAGTCTGCCAAAGGCTCCAACTGCCTGTATGCTCTATGAAAAGCAAAGGAACTATTTTGCAGCTCCAGTTCTCAGCCTACCATCCTCTGGAAACCTGTATTTCCTGGAAAATCTAGAACTACCATTTCAGGATTTCTCTCAGCTTAGCCCTGGCCTAGCAATTTCCACTCCCAGAACCTTGCACAGAGTAAGCTACGTTCTCTCAAAAACCACACATCGCCCTGCGTTTTCCTGTGTCCCACAGGGTTACAAGTCAAATTCCTTGGCAGCATGACAAAGGATACTTTCCTTTCCAAACCTGAAAATGAAGTGTAGTCAGTCAGAGCAATGAAGGCCAGTACAAGTACAAGTCTGTGCAGGACCACCAGCATCTTTCAGCCTGCAACGAGCGATGCCTAGACTAACCTGTTAGTGTATAAAGGCTTTCATTTCTAATTCTAACGCATATAGCTTCTTTCCCGCCTTATATCTGCAATGGCTGCATTTTCAAACTAGCAAAAAGACAAAGATTAAGTAACATAGGAGAGAAACAGCTGGCAAGTAGAAAAGAAGTGTCTACTCTCTTCTTCAGCTTGTCACCATATGTCTATCTTCCCCAGAACAGAAGCAGATGCAATACTGTTTCCATGCTAATGCAACACTATTAACAAAAATATGTCAGAAACTTCACTTAAAATCCTTTAATCTTTCCCGTTCAACTGCTTTTTTGCTAATTTATCTGCCTTCCTGGCAATAACCTCCTGCAGTTTTTGCATTTGAATCCTCCTCACCATATTTTCTATCTTATCTACCCCCTACCCTTTCAAATTCAGTAAGTTTCTTAAAAGTCGATTCTTACCAGAGTCACTGACAGATTCATAACCCTTCCAAATTGATCAACATAGTAGACATTATCCTGGGACCAAGAATCAAGGTGAAGATAGTTATACATGCCAAAAGCACGCATGTGGTCAAGGGTATACTGATCATCACGAAGTTTCACTTCGGCTACAGCTGGGAAAAAAAAGAAAATACAACTATTTTAACAATTATTTATTTACAGTTTAATAAACTGAAGTTCAAACTAATAATTTACAAATAATTCTTCCATCCTTAGTACATAGGTCTGGTTTATTTGAAGAAAAAGAAACTATGTATATACATAGTTTAAAATTTCATCACAAACTTGTAAAGCAGGTCATCCTTACTGAAGGCTACTGCAGCCATTCACTGTGATCATGCAGCAACTATTATTGCCATTTATAGTGGCCTATGCTTCTTCGAGATCCAATTTGTCAATAACCCTCACAAGCTGAAACATACATGCAACAACTCTGTAAAACCCACTTTTAAGCCTGCTTGTGAAGAGCAGGAATCATTCCCAAGATGTACATGGTATTACAGTAAGGGAGAAAAAATTCTGCTCTACACTAACTCCAAGAAAACAATATCCAAAACAAATATCCTAACTACATGGATTTCATAGTCTTAAATTCTGAACCAAGTTACCAACATTGCAAGGCAAAAGATTAAAACAGTATGAAGCAGAATTAGTACATGGTAATTACTAAAAAAACCCGTGTTCCTAGCACTCCCACTATGGGGGAAATCTTCAGGAATGTCCAAGATGCCATCAAAATTCCAGACTAAGCTTTTCCTAATGGAGAGTCTGCAAAGAATAGCTGTTCATTACAATGCTACCTTCTTCAAGGCCAGAACCATGATACCTACAGTCATCTACTTGAGCAAAATCTTTCCAAACAGAAAACCTCTCCTTAGATATCAGTAATCACAACTGGGACTATCTTTCTAAGATTGACCAAGTTTTTCTTTAAATGAGCTGCAGCTCTCTTCTATTCCATATCTATACAGAGATCAAGCAGCTGTAGTCCTAGCATCTCAAAATACAGAAAATCCCCAAGTTTTAGCGAAGACATGAGCAGAGGTCTAGTCCATCCTTCTGCAAATAGTCTCAGACAGACTGGAACTCCACTTCACTCTCCAGTACAGTCATCCCAGGATCCTTAGCTTCCCTGCAGGAAGTTTAGCTTGAACACACAACAAGCAAAATCCTTTAGAAAGTTGTAAGTAGACTTTGTTAGCCAGTGATGACTGGACTTCAAACCGGAGTATGGGGAAAGCACCTCAAGGCTAAGCACCTTTCAGCTTCGAGATGAAAGAGGGTAGATCTAGATTAGACATTAGGAGGAAGTTTCTTCCTGTGCAGAGGGTGAGGCAGTGGCCCAGGTTGCCCAGAGAAGCTGTGGATGCCCCATCCCTGGAGGGGTTCAAGGCCAGGCTGGACGAGGCTTTGGGCAACCTGGGCTGGTGGGAGGTGTCCCTGCCCATGGCAGGGGGTGACACTTGATGATCTTTAAGGTCCCTTCCAACCCAAACCATTCTGTAATTCTGTGATTCTAATAAAATGACCTTTGCATGGCAACAGTTATTTCAGCCCCTACTTTTTCAGCTTCTCCTCTTCTCTGCTCAGAAACCAAGCAAAGCTATTTCCAGTATTCGCTTCCACCACCCCTGTAACAGGGACCACTCACAACGCTATGCGGCAGTCCTCCTATCTCAGTTTTCTTAAGCTCTTCTTTAGCATCTACTCAGTACCTACCAAAGAAGTAGCAGTTAATTGTGCTCTGTCAGAACACCAGTTACTGCCATCAGAGGTTCGTTTAGCAGCACAGTCAGTGCCAGCACACAGCTATCACAGAACCATCAATTGATGGCACTGGATCAGCCTCTGGATGGCTCAGAACTGACCCCATAGAGACACTGGCTATCAACACGAAAGTGGCTCTAAGAAACTACTCAATATTACACTGTCTGATTAATAAATAATCCAGCGATACTATACAAAATGCTTGCCAAATGACAGCATAATTAGCAATTAGTCTCCTAATCACTGTTCATGTTTGCAAACCAACAGTATGAATTCCACCTAGCTCACATCATCATTCATATCCACCACACAGGAGTTATTTCCGTACCTCTGCAATCAATAAATAACTGTTCCCCTAGCCACGGCCCTTCAAAAAAGCTAGAATATCTACAAAGGAATGAGAAGAAAATACACCTGCCATAATGGGAAAGACTGTTACCCATTCTGATTTCTACTTTAACTAATTAGAATATTTTACAGTAAATTACACTGCAGAAGAAATTAGAAGGATGTGTTGTGAAAACGTGTCTTAAAGCTGTTTGTACAATCAAGCTTTATCACGGAGATATTTCTCCCGACATAAGAGATGATGTGAATATTCTGTAAACAATTAAAGATAAAACCAAGTACAACCCAGGATAATTATTTTCAGAGAAACCAAGTACATGTCATGTTCCTCCTGTCTAGCTACATCAACTGCTCTTCTGAAATTACAATACACATGCAGAAGCATGCAAAGCTTCTTCAGCACAGAAAACCCAAAACTGCCTTATTTTGTAAAGCTTCCTTTCTCCACTTCTCACTTCCCCAGACTTGTTGCTACTGTTAGAATTGTACCTAAAACACACACAAATAGTGAAAACAATCCAAACTAGATGCCTCCTAAAGCAAATGTATAACATTTCAAGAAAATTCTTGGAACAGTATACTATTGATTAGCTGATTGTAAGGTGATAAGCTTTATAAAAGCTGGAAGAATATGAGTAAATTCTTGGTCCTTGAGTTTTTCAGCCTGCAGTCCTGACAAGCCCTGAATAATACAGGGACAGGAAGAGGAGATCCAGATCCCTTGCCCAACTGAAATATGCAATTAGTTCTTCACAGACAGAAGACAAGAACCATGCACTTTGTAGGTGATTTTAAACCAGGAAGTCAAACAAATGTTTACTGTACCATCACGAAACACGTCAAATACAGTGATCAACTGCTCGCAGAATGTGTGCTGCATATATAGAATATATTAGAGAAACTGTTCCATCCTTGATTAACGGAAACCCATTCTGTGATCAATTGAAATCTGTGCACAAATGCCATTCACATCACAAACCATGTGCTCAGATAGTTTACAGGAGATATTACAGCAGGATGAAGTTCATTCCTTCCTTTCTACAGCCTTTCAAGTTTTCTTCATGGTCCATAGAAAAATGATGGGAAAACCAACAAAGCGGAGTGCAAAAAAATGAAGGACAAAAGAGAGAAGAAATGAAGACTTTTAAAAAAGTAAATTCAGAAAAAGATAATATAAAGGCCAAATAAATATTTCAATCAGATCATCACCTTATCCAGTCACGTAGCTTTGGGTTTTTTTTCTTGGTTGGCTGGTCAGGATTTTTTGCCGATTTTTTTGTTGTTGTTTGGTTTGTGGTTGGGGGCATGTGGAAGGTGTGTTGGTTTTTGTTTTGTTGGGGCTTTCCATGTATTTAGGGGTTTTTTTTAAGAGTCTCAGTCTAATGCACTATTCTCAACTTTTTTTTGGTTCAATTAACAAGCAGCAGTTAATGACAGCTATTCAACAGAATGATACATGGTCTCATTCAAATTTCTGATAAATAAATCTGTGTTACTAAAACCCAGACATTGATTCATACTCTGCTACACCAGAAAAGGGAGCAAACATACAGAATGCATTCATTAAATCTCAGCTTTCAATATTATTTCCCAAAACCCCTAGTTAGCTGTGATATTTCACAGAAGTACATAGAAAATTATGCCATTTTTCTAGAATTGTATTTTTGTCCAGCTCCATGCTTAAAAAAAGTCATTTGACCCAAAATATTTCAAAGATAATTAAGTAAAGATTTTCACTCAGCCTGCCCTTACTTAAAAACAAAAGCACTAAGTAGAAAGCAACTCAAGAATCAACAGGAGTAAGGTGTCCCTAACCTAAGTGTTATTATAATTATTACGCTGCACTGCAAGGAAAATCTCCCCCCAGTAAAGAGCAATCAAGGGACTTATATTTTAAATTAATAGTGAAGTCTTACATCTGCCATCAAACACTATACAGCAGAACTGGGAATAAAAAAGTAGAGAAAAAAGGCTGAGAAACACCCCCTCACATTTTCAGATGTTTTACTGAGTACATCAAAACAACTTTACAATACCAGAAAATACGTGGGTGGCATTGCAAAACAAAGTACCACATACAAGCATACATTACTTAGGGGCATTGAACACTACATGCTTGAATGTCATACTTTGTTCTGCAATGCCACCCCGTGGAAGCACTGTGGCATTTCACACACACTTACTAGTGGAAGAGATTACATTAATTTATTTTCTAGTATCAGCAAAGATCCTTCCAACCCTGCATAAACTCTTTTTCCTTTTACTCTTAAGAAATGTTTTTACTGTTTATCTCATTGAAGTTGAGTAAAAGCACATGGCTTGTTTATTCTGCTGCAGGAAGTATGTTAATAAACACGAAGATTTACTGTTTAATAAACACATAACCCGCTGAAAACAAGCATGGGCTGACAGATACAATGTAATGAAGTATTTTTGCCTGAACAAATTACTTACACAGGTGTGAAAAGTCAATGGGATCTACCACACACTGAATTGAGCAAACACATTGAACAAGATCCAAAAAACAGCAAGGCACTTGTGAAAGTAACGCTATGCAATGGCTTGAGTTATAAACTGACTTGTGCCAGCTGCAAGAACCATCTTCTTTAACAGTTACAAGGCGGAACTCACCTCTACATTTTCTTCTTCTTTCTCAAGTACAACCCAAGGACAGACACGTGCCTGAGACCTAAACCCAGATTTATGAACTACAGCTGTAAATGTCTGAAAAAGCTGCAGCTCACAGGGTCTTAGTATTTCCCATACATTATTCTAAAGACTTCTTTCTATATTTCATTTTTTCAAATGGAAATAGAAAATGCAAATGGAAATGCCTATAAATGTTTGAAACATACCAGTGTCTTCAGTGAAATTCACAAAATGGATAAACACAAAAACATGGAGTAAAATATTGACAAAGAGGATTACTACTCTAATACACAAGTTTGCAATAACACTGCATAAATACCTCAACTACAGCTGAGTCAACT